AAACACAAGAAATCTCTTATATTATTGAACACAGATTGATTCTTTTTTAATATTCATCAAGGTAACAGTGCCTTCAAAAATCTACTTTTTTCACTGACAATGTTGGTTAGCGTGACCAAGGAAGAGAGAACACCAAGAAGCGTCCCTACAAACAATAGATATCGCTGATGGCCTCGGGAAGAGGATCACACATACAGAATCTAACCTTCACAATGACCAAATATGGGAAGTCCGTGTTGGAAAACACTGAAGATTATCTTTTGCCAGTAAAGTAAAGCAATGTGTTTGGGCAACATTCAAGGTTGTAAAAGAACATATCTTGAAGAAAAACCATGACACTTGATCTACTGGAAGGAAAGCTGTTTTCTTACTGTGGCAGCAAAATAAGTGATTGCTGACTTCTCTGGCAGTATATTTAATCCAAGGAATTGGCCAGGAAAGGAAAGTAGAAAGGGGATCAATGAATGATTAATGCAGACAATGAAGAATGAAGCAACAGTTTCAAGAACCAGGCTGTTTGGTAAAATACGTTATAACTCCTTACTCCTGAGAACAGGGCTGCCTGACCCAACACACTAATCTGTGAGATAAACAAGATGTTACCCTGAAGACTGTCACCAGAATTAAGATAAGGCTAGTTTATAATTTACAGTTCTATGTACCACAGTTTTGGAAAACACCAGTGAACAACCTTCCAGATGTAATTCTTTGTGTATGAAGCCAGAAGATAAGAAGCTAGAGAAATACATTTCATGATGAATGATGACTAAATAAATGATTTACCAATAATGTGTGCCATAAACATATCACATTGGTTGACTTTTCTTTTTTCTTTTATATATTTATGAAATTTACTTTTAAATAGTACAGTTTGACTATTTTTAGAGGACAAAAGGTCTTTACAAACACCACAGTGTTTTTATTGAATAGTTGTACCAGTCAGGCTCAAAGATGTCTATATATGGTGCGAGAAGGGCAGAGGGAAACAATGATGTAAACTTGGCTCTCTCAGCCTCAGTTTTTCTTGGCAAGCAGGCTCTTTAGTTTTACCTTAGCAGGTCATTGTCACCTTAACAGTTAAATATGCTGAGAGGTCAGGGAAGTCAGGAAGTGTGCAGTAGCAAACACTCGGAGCTCTCATACTGACATTCACAACATATTATTTCATTGTACTACGAGATTCAACAGCACATTGTGGGAATACCGATTGTGTTGTCTGACCATGCAAGTCCTCCAAGGAATTAAATATTGGACAAATCTGTAGCACACAACTTATGCCCAGCACCAACATTTAGTCCCAGTGAAAGTAGTGACCTTTTAGGTGAAAACAGGGGTGTGGAGGTTGGGGTGCGCCACCAAGGATTCAATGGCTGAAAACCGGGATCTGCCAAATCTACACAGTTTTGACAAATGTTCTAAAGAGCAAGTTTTCTAAACTACGTTTTCGGCTAGTTATGAACATTTATTTTCACTCAGTTTTTTGTAGATACTTAATAACACACTCAACATCATATATGCAGTTTTACTATTCCAAGCCACATTGCCAGTGGCTTTAAATTAATGTAAGGCAGCCGCTTTGCCTCCAATATACAACAACTGCTGTATGTTTGTGTAAGAGAATAAAGTCTGAGAGTCAGTGTGCTGGTTGCCTTAATAGCATCTGTGTGTGTAGGTGTGTGTGTGTGTGTGTTTGACTGTCTTTTCCAGTAAAGAATGACTCACTGATTCAGTCATTCTAGTCATTTTAAAGATTAGAACATTTTACAAGCTGAGTATAAACAATGTCTGCAGAAAATGCTTTTTAGTTGTTACGTGGCACAGGTCTGATCATGTCTTAGCAGATCTGATCTTCTCATGGCTTCATAACTTTGTAGACTTTCGTTTTCCACTGCAGACAGCAATATGAACCTTTGACAGGATTTTAGAAAAAAACTAATTCTTAACTGACATGGTCATAACAAAAGTATTGATATACTGATCCAGGAAGACAATGTCCTGAGAGACCATATATAAGTACCTTTATTGTTTATTACATACCTGTTTATTGTGGTGTTTTTGTAGGTTTTGCAATGAACTTAGCAATGCATATTTCAGTTGTCATGCGCTAAAGCATGCTAATTACACAAGGGGAATCCATTTTATTAAGATCCAGCAATAAAGAGATGGCTGACCTTTTTGGTGTATTCTGTTATATTAATCAGATGCCACAATCACCTTAAGTTAATTCAACAATATAAAAAAAACATATAGTAAAATACGGAAGTATTTGTTGCATGCAGAGCAATACATTTGTATTTCATATTGAATAACAACGATTTATGAACAATTTGTCATGTTAAAGCAGCAACAAGGAAGTTTTCATTTTTTGAAAACTGGTATCCAACTGAATCCGACTGGCTGGCAGGCATTCAGAATAATATTTTAGAAATAGTCAGTTATCTGGCTGATGGTGATGAAGTGCCCATCGTTCTGTTTAATCTTGGGAACGTCTGGCTGTAGATGTGTAGATGTGAGTGCAGAGTGATAAAGTGTCTGACAGACAGACAGCCAGATGGGAGTCACTCTCTGATCTGAAAGGTGGCTGCACAATAATGAGACACAGATGGTAGTGGTATGTCTACACACACAAACACACACACACACACACACACACACACACACACACAAAACATGCAGATACACACTGTATCTGTATCTGCATGCATCTGTAACTGTGAAATTTCATTTTTTTGTTGAATATGTGTTTTTAAAGATCCAGTTTGTAGGATTTGGTGGCATCTAGCAGTGAAGTTGCAGATTGCAACCAACTCGCCTCAACCTCCCCTTTCAAGCTTGTAGGAGAAACTACGGTGTCTGTGAAACTTGCCAAAAAACATGAAAGGCTACTGTAGAAACATGGTTTCTTCCGTGGAAGAGGACCCACTCCCTCTGTAGATATATAAAAGGCTAATTTTAAGGTAATGAAAACACAATGACTC